TGTCCTAAACACTTTACACTGATGACACTTTAAATCCTTATGACCAGCAAGGCTGTTGGCATTGCTCTCATTGTCATCGTCATCCCCCCAGGTTAGAGGCAGGCCCAGAGAAGTGAAGCAGCTGGGATTCAGGCCCTGCCAGCCTCTGCTCTCAGCCTTCACTCACACAATCCTTCTGTTCCGTCGAGCCTGTCTTTTAAAATGTTCTGGTTTTCATTCCTTAACCTATTAAACAGTATCAGCGTCAGAACCCGAGCTGACTAGTGCTTAGCCCCGCTGTGCAGGGCTGTGTGACAGGGTCCGGCACCGGCCAGCGACACACAGAGCTGCTGTCTTCCTTCACCTTCCTATGGCCCAGGAGGAAGAGCTCTACTTAAAGCAGCCTGGCGTTTCCCTCCCATAATCCCTGGGCCTGACAAGGACAAGGTCAGGGTCAGGGCCCCTCTACACAGGCCCTCCTCCTCCCCAAGACCTCTTCTCACTGCCTCTCTGGGGATGGACCAGGGAGAGCAGAGGGTGGAAGGTGCCTCCTTCTTGGGGTGGTGAGGTGGCAATGTGGCCCCCGGTGGAGTTGAGCTGAGGCCCAGCGTCCCTGTGGCCAATACAGAGTCCCAGGGACAGAGTGCCCAAAGCACTCACCGTTATTTGTGCCAGGGGTTTTGCAGAGAATCAAGGCTGGAAGAATGGGGCACTGAGGTCCACAGAAGGTGACACACCCAAAGCTGCCTGGGGAGCAGGTGACGGGCCAGAATTCTCTCTCCTGTGCCCCCTAGGCCTTGATTAGGATGGGTGCTCAGTAAGTGGGATGATGAATAAATAAATAAACTCACATACCAATTTGTTAGCAAGTGCTTCTCTGCCCATGTCTTCTCTTGGGAGGGCTCCTAAGTGCATGTTCAATTCCAAACCTGTGCCCAGAAACACCACCCCGTGGCAGCTGGGCTGTCTTCCTAAACCCTGGTTCACCAGCACAGACACCTTCCAGGGTCCCCCACCGGGGGGAGGTTGGTGCTGACGTCCCAGGCCCTCTCCTTCTCCTCACCCTGGCCCCTGCAGGTCACCCAGGATGTCAGCCCGTGTCTGAGGACAGCCCGGGACACAAGGAGAGCAGACAGAGTGGCCTGCCCTGTGCCGGCGGCCCCAGCTCTG